ACACTTGGAAAAACCTTGAAAGATCACCTGGTCCTTGAAGGCTTAGTTAGCTGTCAGCCTCCAGCCGTACGCGCCTATAGGATCTGCCACCAATTTCTAGCTAAGTCCACAGTCTTCCAGGGCATGCGCCAGCCAATGATTGAGCATAGCAGGACTATCACTGTCTGGCTTTTGTTCTTTGCTCCAGAGATCCTTTTAATGTTAGCCAAGGCTTTGTCAGATCTATATAACAATCTGAGACTCTCTTTGCCCTATCCTGCTTTTCCTCCCTTCCCTATCACAGGAATCAGATCAGCATCACTTTCTGAAGGCTTTCCCTGCCTAATTATATTTCCTCCTCTTTTTATCTTTCACAGATGTTATACTCTCCACCCACCTATCAACCTCATGTACTCCTAACTCTATCTCCACATCTGTCTCCTGCTGTATATAATTAATGCAAAGAACATAGTCATAAAACATGTATCCAACAAAAGGCTTATGTCCAGAATATACAAAGAGTCTTTAAACACAATAAGAAAACAACCTAATTTTTTACAGACAAAGATTTCATTTAAAAGATATACAAATTGGCCAGACACGGTGGCTCATACCTGTATTCCCAGCTCTTTGGGAGGCCAAGGCAGGTGGATCACCTGAGGTCAGGAGTTCGAGACCAACCCGGCCAACATGGTAAAACCTCATCTCTACTAAAAATATAAAAGTTAGCAGGGCATGGTAGCAGGTGCCTGTAATCCCAGCTACTCAAGAGGCTGAGGCAAGAGAATTGCTTGAATCCAAAAAGCAGGGGTTACAGTGAGTGGAGATCATGCCACTGCACTCCAGACTGGGAAACAGAGCAAGACTCCATCTACAAAAAAAAAAAAAAAATATATATATATATATATATATATATATATACACACACACATAAATACAAATAGCAAATAACCATATGAAAATGTGTTCAATATCATAAGTCATCTGAAAAATGCAAATTAAAGCCACAGTAATAGATGCTACTACACACCCTAATGTTAAATATACTGTCAATACCAAGTGAGGAAGAGGGTGTGGATCAACTGACACTCACGCTGCTACAGAGGACTGCCCGAAACTGCATAATTTATAAAGGAAAAAAAGTTTAATTGACTCACAGTTCTACAGGGCTGGGAGGCCTCAGGAAACTTCCGATCATGGTGGAAGGGGAAGCAAACACATCCCTCTTCATATGATGGCAGGAAGGAGAAGTGCCGAGCAAGAGCAGGGAAAGCCCCTTACAAAACCATCAGATCTCAGAGAACACACTCACTATTACAAGAACAGCAGCATAAGGGTGACTGCTCCCATGATTCAATTACCTCTCACCAGGTCCCTCCCATGACACGTGGGGATTATGGGAACTACAATTCAAGGTGAGATTTCAGTGAGGACACAGCCAAACCATACCACTTACCATGTTAAATGTATACTACGTGACCAGCAATTCCACTTCTAGATATTTACCCAAGAGAAATGAAAACGTATACACAAAATGGCATGTACAAATATGTCCACAGCATCTTTATTCATAATAGCCAAAAACTGGAGATGTCCAAATGTCCAAAAATGAATAAATGGACAAATTATGGTACATCCACATGATGAAAATAGTACTTGGCAATAAACATGCAACCAAATAAATGAATCTCAAAAACATGTTGAGTCAAAGAAGCCAAATATATTAAAGGACATATACAATTCCATTTCTATGAAATTCTAAACTACTAAAACTAATCTAGTGATTAAAATTGGATCAAGGGTTGCTGGGGATGAGAGATTGACCACAAAGGAGCACAGGAAATTCTCTGGAGTGATGGAAATTTCCTATATCTTCATAGGTGCTGTTTAGACTCAAAATATATGCATGTTACTGCATGATTTTAAAAACGTGTTCCTGATATTTACAATACTAAACACTAAATACTAAACAAATATATAATTACTATATTTAATAATATTTGTTAGTATTGTAAGTGGAATATTTATCTCATTTATATTTCTAGATGATAATTACTAGAAGAGGCTATTCTTTCCCTTTCTACTTTTTTTTTTTTTTTTTTTGAGACAAGGTTTCTCTCTTGTTGCCCAGGCTGGAGTGCAGTGGCACAATCTCAGCTCACTGCAACCCCTCCTCCCAGGTTCAAGGGATTCTTCTGCCTCAGCCTCCTGAGTAGCTGGGATTACAGGCATGTGCCACCACGCCCAGCTAATTTTTGTATTTTTTTTTTTTTTTTAGACGGAGTTTCGCTCTTGTTACCCAGGCTGGAGTGCAATGGCGCGATCTCGGCTCACCGCAACCTCCACCTCCCGGGTTCAGGCAATTCTCCTGCCTCAGCCTCCTGAGTAGCTGGGATTACAGGCACGCGCCACCATGCCCAGCTAATTTTTTGTATTTTTAGTAGAGACGTGGTTTCACCATGTTGACCACGATGGTCTCGATCTCTTGACCTCGTGATCCACCCGCCTCGGCCTCCCAAAGTGCTGGGATTACAGGCTTGAGCCACCGCGCCCGGCCAATTTTTGTATTTTTAATAGAGAGAGGGTTTTGCCACGTTGGCCAGGCTGGTCTTGAACTCCCGACCTCAAGTGATCCATCCGCCTTGGCTTCCCCGAGTGCTGGGATTACAGGCATAGCCACCATGCCTGGTCATGTGTATTATATCCAGAGACTATCAAATTCCCTTATTCTCTTATTTTTAAGCAAAGTCCTTTGGGTTTTCTAGGTGTATAATTATATCATCACCAAAAAGAAATAGCCTGGGCATGGTGGTTCACACCTGCAATCACACAGGCTGAGGCATAAGGATCACTTAAGGCCAGGAGTTCGAAACCAGCCTGGGCAACAAAGCTAGTTTAGTAGACACCCTTGTCTCCACTAAAAATAATTTTTAAATTAGCTGGGCATTGTGATACGTGCCTGCAATCCCAACTACTTGGGAAACTGAGGCAGGGGGACTGCCTGAGCCCAGGTGTTTGAGGTTGCAGTGAGCCATGATTGTACTGCTGCATTCCAGCCTGGGTGACAGAACAAGATCCTGTCTCATTTTTTAAAAAGGAATATCTTCATCTTTTATTAACCAACAATTATACAGACTACTTTGCTTACTCCTATTACTGTATGTGCTAGTCTCCAAAAGAATATTAAGTAATAATGGTGATTACCAGATGCCCTCTCCTTTCTATACTTTCAAGGAAATATCTGAACATCTAAGTGTTTAAAATACCACTTGTTGGAATTTTTGTAAACTCTTTACAATTTGTAGTTTCTGTTTCTACTTTATTTTGTTTGAAATTATTTTTAAATTTTTTCAAATGACTTTTCAGCATTTATTAATATAACATGTTTTTACCCTTTATATTGTTGACGCAGGCTGGGCACAGTAGCTCATGCCTGTAATCCCAGCACTTTGAGAGGCTGAGATGGGAGGATTGTTTGAGCTCAAGAGTTGGAGACTAGCCTAGGCAACATAGTGAGACCCCTATCTCTAATCAAAAAAATCAAACAATCAAAATCAGGTGCAGTGGTACATGCCTGTAGTCTCAGCTACTTGAGAGGCTGAGGCAGGATTGCTTGAGCCCAGGAGACTGAGGATGCAGTGAGTTGTGATCTCACCAGGGCACTCCAGCCTGGGTGACAGAGCAAGTCCCTGTTTAAAAAAAAAAAAAAAAAAAGTCAATGCAATGTAATATTACTGATGTCCTAATATTGTAAAAGTTTGCTTTCCTGCTATAAAACCCCTTGAATTATTCTTTCGATAAAGTACTACTAGCTTGGTGCAAAAGTGAACCCAATTACTTTTGTACCTAATAGATTCTTTTGGATATATATTCACAAGCTAACTTGAAATTTGGGGTTTTTCAGATACTATCTTTATAAAGTTATAGTAAGGTTGGCTTCATGAAATGACTTAGAGAGTTTCTACTTTTTCTCTCCCCTAAAACGGTAAAGAAATAGTTTGTAAGTATCCATCATTCATTAAAGATTGCAAAGGACTTAACTGTGAAACTGCCAAGTCTCCGTGACATTTTTAATAGTAGATATTTAATGTCCAATTTTTCTATGGTAATTAGTCTCTTTATGTTTTCTACTTCTTGGGTCAATATGTTAGGAAGTCATTCATATCTCCTAGGTTTTCAAATGTGTTTCTCTTGAGTTTTAGTTGGTAATTAATATATTAATCTCCTTTTGCATCAGTGGTTATCTCATTTCTCATTCTCGTATAACTTTGTTCTCTTTAAAAATCAGGGCCATGATGGGATTATCTATCACATTGGTGTTTTCAAATAACACAAAAAAGAATTGAACTATTTATGTAAGTTTTGAGGCTATTTTGTTATCTTTATTACTTACTACCATTTTGTTCCTAATTAAGATATATACATATCTTAATATATTTACATTAATAAAATATACATATTTATAGTTTATATCCTTTTTATTTGTGGGATGCCAAATTCTCTCTGGAGGTTTACTATTGTAACGTGAACAAAAAACCCACTCCCACACACTCATGGTTCTTACTTTGCTTATTTTTAAATTTTTTTCATAGCATTTATTTATGATCTAACAAACCTTATGTTACTTACATATTGCTTATTGTTTAACCTGTCAATTTTACATAACTATAAAGTCAAAAAGGGTTAGGAACTTCTGTCTGTTCACTGATGTATCCGAAAGCCTAGAACGGTGCCTGACACAAGGTAGGTGTTCAAGAAACTGTTAGATAACTAAATCATTATCACATGACTCATTTCACTTAGGCAATGGGCAAAACAGGAATACTACAGGTGTTTATTCATTTACCAAGATCGAGTTCAGCATCTATGTGTCTGAACCGTGCTGGTGTTGACACAAGTCCCCACCCTTACCAAATCAACAGTCTACTTTAGGGCGTATGAATAGGAATGGGAGGCAGAAGGATACTGTGCATAAGTGAAAAAAATGCATTGGCTTTACAAACGTAATCTCTATTTCTTACTGATCTCAAATTGGCTGCAGTATCTGACTTTTCGATTCTATTATCCTTTGCTCCACACGCCTAACAGTTAAAAATGTCGGCTTGTCAAATCCTTTAAATGCAGAGGAGATTCCAAAAGAGATAACGTCTTTGGGTGATAACCGCCCATTAACTTTACTACTTTTAATAATTTACCAATGTGCGCGTGTGTAAAATCCAGACCATAGTAGAGACTACGGTGGAAATGGAAGGTGTTTCACTGAGGGTCCTGGCTGCCTTCTGCAAAGGTGAAGGTCGTGCCGGCCACGCGAGGAAGTCTGCCTTGCTCACAACCGACAGGCGCACATCAACACTCGGCCTAACGAGGGATCCAAAAATCACCGCAAGCGAAGGCTGTAGCAGCGTCCACCGGCCACAGCCCGCCCCCGCGCAAGCGCAGCCCCTTCCAGAGCCTCGACTTGCCGTCTTTGCCCCGCCTTCGGACCGGAAGGAGTTGTTGGCGCTTCCGGTGACCTGCAACCCCGTGATTGCCTCGGTGATGTCGTGGCTTCAAGCGGCATCCTCGGTCCGTGGCCCTGGAGATGAAGGGGACGTGTTTGACGAGGAAGCAGATGAATCGCTCCTGGTGCAGCGGGAATGGCAGAGTCACATGCAGAGACGAGTCAAAGTAAACGTGGGTGGACGGCGCGGGGTGCTGGGTTGTGGAAAGAGGCGCGGAGTTGTCAAGAAGCTGGGTCCAGAAGGGCACCAGCGTGGCCCGGCGCTGCCCTCTTTATCCGTAGGAACGCGGTCCAACCCGCGTCTTGCTAGGATTTCTCAATGGTTACTTGAAAGCGTGCGAAACAACAGGACACGTTCTTTGAGCCCCTACGGGGTGCTTAGAAGCTGAGGACCGACTAAAATTTACTGTCTAGACTTTGAACAGTGCAATTTGTTGAGGATCACAGGGGAGAAACATACACTGACTGTACTAATTATGGCTGTCAAAGGATGTGTACGCAGTTTATATTAATTGCTTGAATGGGTCGGGAGCCTAAAGTTAAGGAGTGGTATTAATCAAGACATACTGAAAAGATGAACTTAAGAATGCTGTCAGAGGGCAATAAGGGAAAGCTAATGTGGAATACTGGTGTCTAGATAAGGGAATATTAAAGTTGATTTCTTCTTTATTTGTTAGATGTAATTTTTTCATCTCTAGTTTGTCTCACTATTCGTTGAAACTAAGCTTAATTTATGTGTGCAGCCTTCAGAACCTAGTTCTGAGTGAAGACCAAATGGTGAGGTCCACATCCACTTAATATATTTGCCAACCACTAAATTGCTGCTAAAGCTGCAGTTGGGAATCTGCGCTAGTTTAATATTTCAGTAAAGTATAATTTGCTTAGCTCAGAAACCAAGTGGTCAGTTACAAAAATGCTTTGTGTGAGATTGGGGCTACACTAGTAAGTACTGAGCATCTTTTGAGTGCTGTGGCACCGTTTAAGAGATGCAGAATGAAATCACTACCCACAGAGCTTTTGCAGGTTATTTGAATTTAGGGATTAAGCAAAATTACTGAAACCAGACTTCTCATCTTCCTTTTTTTTAAACGGTTTTCTCTCTCTGCTTTCCCATGTCTCCTCACCCACCCACACCATTCCAATCAGTTGGCAAGAGCCCAGATATGTAGTTTTTTTTTTTTTTTTTTTTGAGAGAGACAGAGTTTCGCTCTTGTTACCCAGGCTGGAGTGCAATGGCGCGATCTCGGCTCACCGCAACCTCCGCCTCCTGGGTTCAGGCAATTCTCCTGCCTCAGCCTCCTGAGTAGCCAGGATTACAGGCACGTGCCACCATGCCCAGCTAATTTTTTGTATTTTTTAGTAGAGACGGGGTTTCACCATGTTGACCAGGATGGTCTCGATCTCTTGACCTCGTGATCCACCCGCCTCGGCCTCCCAAAGTGCTGGGATTACAGGCTTGAGCCACCGCGCCCGGCTTGTAGTTTTCCATATATTCATTTTGTGAAGACATTGCTAACACTGGGTTTTTGGTTATTCTTTAATCTTTTAAAGTGGTTAGAAAAGTTTATTTTGTGCTTAGGATATTTTTCTAAGGCATCACAAGTGACACATCCAAACTCTTAAGTGGTATATTTTATATATTCTAAAGGAGAGGACTTTAGAGAAAACTTGTACATTATACTACTGTAAGTCTAATGAATTCATATAACAACAGAGCCTAGAAAGAAGAGAACTTTACAGAAATTGTCTACTACATAATGGTCAGTTGATTCATTGTATTTATGATTTTTCTTCTTTTTGTAAAGTCAAAACTATTATGTATTCTAGCTCTTTAAGGAGTTAAAATACACTAAATGTTCCATCCTGTTGATTTCTGCCTACGAAATACCACACAATATTAGCAGTCAGGAAAGAACAGGAGACTATGAAGTTTGTCTCTTAAAAATTATAAAAATGTTAGTGATTTTAAAACATCAAGCATTACAAACTGTAAAATCAATTAAGAACTTTCTCTATATGAGGACAAAGATATACTTAAAACATGTGCAAGAAGATGCTTTTTCCTGAGTAGAAGGCAAACTTTGTTTTATATTAAGCTTCTATGAATTTTCAAAATGTAAAATACCAGGGCTTTTCCACATCAGACAAAAATCAGGAATGTTCACCTTCACATCCAAAAAGAAAAATTAAAAAAATAATTTCAAATAGAAGTTCAGCAAGAATGATATAAAATCTTAAATGAATGGCCAAGATTTTAAATTATCAACAGAAAGCTCAATGTGATGGATCTAAAAAAAAATGCTATTTACTAAAACATAAAAAAAATTTCCAGGAAATTATCATCCAATTTGAAAAGTAAAAAAATGTAACCCATAGTAAAAAAGCAAAAATACAAGAGAAAGTCAGCCTTTATTGGAATCAAGACAATACTATGGCCTTAAAAACTTCCTAAGTCACTAGCATATCCTGTATTAGCATGTGTAGTAAACTGTAATTAATTAATAAAAGGTAGTTTTTATTAGTTGCAACCTAAAAATACGAGGAAATTTTGGAATATATTTCTAAAAAGACCATGCAATTGTCACTGAAATACATATTTCTTGAGACAATGGGCAGAGTTCCATTTATGGGAAATATGTTCCTTTTTTCACACAGTGAAACTGAGAAAAATTATATCAAATGAGAAATATTTTTCTCTAAAATAATCTTTAATACCCCAATAATGCAATACTTGGGAAATGTAAATTTTCAAAACTGACTTGAAACATGTTATTATTAAATAAATATACATAAATCTTACTGCTTGGCACAATATTTCAAAAATTAGAGAACTATTTAAACCATCATAAACTGTGCTTAAATCATATTTCAAACTTATATAACTAGTGCTTTTATGTTCTGAATGTAGACTCTTCGATTTAATGACAATCTAGACTGAACCCTGCAATGTATAAGCATGTCACAGTTCACTTCAAACCAGAAGAAATGACCAATCTTCTGTTTTTATCAAAATCATAATATAAAGATACCTATAAAACTTAACTAGGATTTATCCGTGGCCAGTGACAAACCCAGAGAGCGTTATCTTACGGCATTCTGTGGAAAGTATTTGTTCCTTCTTTACTTTCAGCTTCTTCTGAAACATCTTCTTCATTCACCTCTTCTTCCAGTTTTTTCAAAGGTTGAGCAGATTCTGATAATTTTTTTGAAGGGTATGGCTGTGATCTGTGCCTTTTTGAAGGACAAAGGCAATCTCCCACAAATATCATACAGAGTCCTAATAACAATCTGGAATGCAGAGTTGCTAAAGCAAAAACAGTATATGATCCTGACACTGGCAATCCAAGGTCTTCAGTAGTTATGGCAAGTCCTGATCCACATAGAGAGCTGAAAGAGTGCTGACATACTACTCATCTGAACCAGAACCTGGCCCAAACCATGATGAAACAGGTTCGCTACTCTTCCACTCTTTATCACTTATAAAGTTTATGAAGTCCTTCTTAGTCGTTGGATCCTGATGATGCCTAAATTCACCATCTTAACAATGATAAATATTAGGAAGAACAGTTATGATAAACTGTCCAGACAATCCTGGCTGCTCTGTGACATCTACTTTCACAGCATTAACCTCAAGATCTTCTCCCCATTCAGCAAAACTTTCCCATTCCGTTTGAAGGTTTTGACAAGTAGGGCATCTGGGGCATAAAATTCCATCATCCAATCTCCTTCCAGCAGCTCTCTCCAGTTCTCATGATGACGTATACATTGCTCCACTGCCCATGGGTCCAGGGAGCACCCCAAAGCAACAGCACCAAGACTGCCAGGGGAACTGTAAGACTCCCAAAGGGTGCCATGTCCGCTGCTTGCCCACCTCACAGCAAGCACAGCGGCCCAACACTGAGTTTTTTAAAAACCGTAATTATCAATGTTTTAAAAATTGCCCAGTAATTCTAGACTTCAAAAGTGGGATAAGTAATGATAAACCAATAATAAACTTATGAGAAGCACGGTCTCTTTTAGTGATGTTGTTATGCCATATTATGGTCAGTAACACAGTAATTCATCAGCTTTCTAAATTGGTTCTATACTTTTCTAGAAAAACCTACATGTGGTATACTTGGTGTTAGTTACAGCTGCAGTTCTCCATTATTTATTTTTAGGAAGGTTATAGAGATGGAGTAGATGCTGGCAAAGCAGTTACTCTTCAACAGGGCTTCAATCAAGGTTATAAGGAAGGCGCAGAAGTCATTTTAAACTATGGACGACTCCGAGGAACACTGAGGTAATTTTTAAAATCTAAATGCTGACTCATTTTAAACTCAGTACTACTGGAGGATGTTTTTGTAAAAATAAAGTCTTTAAACTGAAGTGCTTTTCCTAGTGCTAAATCCACTGAAGCATGCCGCAGAACATAGAATTATATTGCCTTCAAAAAGTCAAAATTATTATCAGTTCATCCACTTTAATATGTGAACTACATATTGTCTTTTTGTGCAAAGAAATGGTAGGAAGATGTATAGTTTTGCTACCTGAACAATTACCTATCTCGTTAAAAGATCTTCAGGTTTTGAATAAAACTTTTGGTACTTGCACACAATGACAGACCTCTAGACAAGAAGTACATGATGAAAATTATAGTTGGTAATTAAGAGAAAATTGATTTCATTTACTTTAGTCCTGACATTGAATACTTGTCAGGATGCCATTGCAATGATGGCATGTATCAGAGCCAAGTGGCCAAATGATACACAGAGCCAGAAGCCTAGCAGCCTTGCCCTTTTTGATGCTTCATCCCAAGCTTGTTCAACAAGTAGCCTGCGTGTCACATGTGGCCCAGGACAGCTTTGAATATGGCCCAACACAAATTCATAAATTTTCTTAAAACATGAGCATAATGAGCTTTTTTTTGATTTTTTTTCTTTCTTTTTTTTTTTAACTGAGCTATCATTAGTGTTAGTATATTTTATGTGTGGTCCAAGACTGTTCTTACAATGTGGCCCAGGGAAGCCAAAAGATTGAACACCCCTGCAATATACCCTTTAAACTGTCCTCAGTAGAGAAAATCAAAATGCTTCGAAGAATCGCTAATTTTAAAGAAAAGTAGATAATAAAAGTTACCAAAGTAGAACTAAAAAATTTATTGTGTTTGGAGTTTTAGAAAATCCAGCTGTTAGGAACCAGAATTTATTCTGCTACAGTAGGAAAATAATCAATGTGAATATTCACATTATCAAGTTAAATTAATGTTATATAACCTTAGAAAGCTACTACTGAATCTTTTATATCAATAGATTCTATTTTTAAATACTTTTCGTAATAACCATTATTTTATGGCATGACTATAATATTAAATCTGTTAGGACTAGAAGAATTTTTATCTTTTTCAAGGAAATTGTTAGTAGTTCAGCAAACAATGTCTACTCTGTGACATAAGCCCAGGAAAGTGAAGTCTCTTTAAAACTTTTTCTCTAACCTTCATTCTTGATGGCAAGCAACTATATGCTTAGAACAGTGGTTTTCAACTTTGGTTACACCTTGAAATCAACTGTGAAACTTAAAAAAAGATACCCCCAGAGATTCTGATTTAATTGGCCTGGAGTATAATCTGGGCCTTGATAGGTTTAAAAGCTCTTTGGGTGATTCTAATGTGCATCTATGATTGAGAATTGCTATTTTAAATTCGCAATTTAACTAATTATAATTAAATTGCTAGTTTAAATTCTTCTGTCCTTAAAGAAGAAACTAGTTTTTCTTTCTTGGAGCTGTATTTATCTTCAACAGATATCACATAGTCATAAGAAAAAAATATAAAATCAGGAAAAGTGTATATAGAGTTGTGAAAGAGGGGTTATGAACTATAAACAGTTTTATGATTAAGTCCAATTGTTTAATTGTTATTGAAAGATAATAGCCTTATGTTTTAAAGTCCTGTTTACTATTATTACCTTCCTGATTCTGTCTGCATTATTATCCTTAATTCATTTTTACATGGTATTAGCTGGAAGAGAAATATGTAGGGCATAGCATCAACCATTCTAAAAGCCTGTGACTAATTTTTTTTGCTATTTAACTCTTGTTTATATTTTTGTTCAGTGCTTTGCTCTCCTGGTGTCACCTTCATAACAATAATTCGACTTTGATCAATAAAATAAATAATCTTCTGGATGCAGTTGGCCAGTGTGAAGAGTATGTGCTCAAACATCTGAAATCAATCACTCCACCATCCCATGTTGTAGATTTATTGGACTCCATTGAGGATATGGACCTTTGTCATGTAGTTCCCGCTGAGAAAAAGATTGATGAAGCTACAGATGAAAGACTCTGTGAAAATAATGCTGAGTTTAACAAAAACTGTAGCAGCAGCCATAGTGGGATAGATTTTTCATATTTAGAATGTTGTAGAACACAGGAGCATGCACATTCAGAAAACCCAAGCCTCACATGGATTTTAGAACAGACAGCCAGTTTAGTTAAACAGCTGGGCATATCAGTAGATGTATTACAACACCTCAAACAACTATAAAAATTATCTTCTCTTTTCTAATGTACATAATGTTCAGAATGTTTCTTAGAACACTTGGTTTCCTAAGAATCAAAATTTGTACTGGTTTCTGCATCAAACATTCCAACTATAGGGTTATCTGTTAATGAAAGTTTGACATTTACACTATTGTCTTCAAAACTAACGCTAGTAAATGTAATATAAGCCTTTTTTCTTTGTCACTGGTAATTTTTATGTAGTTTAAGATATGGTCAGAAATTTCCATTGTCATTGCCATTTCCAAACTTGTGGTCAAAATGAAGTGTTTTCAGACTTATTAGCAAAAGTAAACAAGAATTAAACATATTTTGTAAGGACCTACCCCTACTTCTACCTCCTGTCACTACTAGGTGGTCAGGACCTCACCAAACCTAAGTTATAAAAATAACCTAATAGCATATAAACACATAGACAGATATATAGATATAGATATGTAGATACATGCTGAAATTAAGAGACTGTAAGTGTGAGAAACTAAAGCAGTGTTTATGCTGTTGATTCAATGATTAACAGCAAAATACTAATGTGTTTTAGTTTTGTGTTCATTAAAAGGACATTGTTTTATGAAAAATACAGAAAATATATTTCATGCTCGAGTCTAAGGAGAATACCTACTTAGATTTTTCTAAGTAGTAGGGAGTTAGT